AGTGTGCACCATGCATACAGACGATCTAGACTACGCTGTAAGCCAGCTGCCGTTGAATGCACGAGAGCCAAGTCATCGGCATACAGCAAACAAAACACAATCAGATCAAGCAAGAGCAAGAGAGGACTTGACTGTTGGTTCGCGTGACCTTGTCGAATGTACTCAGGCAAGTCATCGACAAAAAGGGAAAACAGAAGTGGACCCAACACATCACCTTGCTTGACACCGAAGAGCTCACGAAAGACTGCCGAGATATTGGAGTTCCTCACGGTGCGAGCTTAGCCGTGGAATGGCGATCCCTCCGTTCGTCCATCAACGCGTTGAGGCATTCATGGGCCTCTCACGGTCACCTGACTCGTCCTTTCCCTGATCTCGGATTCATCTGCTCCAGTATCATCGATCCCGAAGGCAGGTGCATCAGTCAGTATGCGTCTGCTGACCCACAATCTGCTCATGTGCAACCGCAAGCAGTGCACGGGCGGCTTCCCCCTGCGCATCGTCCTCGACACCGACATCGACAAGGACGCCCAGTCAGTGGAGGAGAGCGAGTTCAGACCCGAGTTCATCCAGCACCTGCTGCCAAAGCTCGACTGGGAGGCGCTGTACAAGACCGCACAGGAGCTGAATCTGAGTCCTGGTGTGCCGCCGAGCTACTCGGAGGAGGACAAGAAGGACGAGAACTTCCTGAGGGCGGTTCATGATGTGGTGATGGATGTGCACATACTGGAGGGGAAGCTGGTGTGCCCAAACTGCAACAGGGAGTACCCCGTCAGCAAGGGCATCCCCAACATGCTGCTGACCAACGATGAGGTCTAGGGAGGGAGGGAGGGAGGGAGTCTCGATTTCTGTCTGCGTATGAGTGGCGAGATGAGATGAGAGGGGTGGTGCTGCGTATCACATTCCCAACGACTTCTCAGACGAAACGACAGAATGGATGAAAATTATGGAGCCATCAAGCTGCATATATGTCGGTGTCTACACAAGCTACACACACACACACCCAAGTGTCCCATTCGCCTTCATACCATGGCATAGCATGGCACGGCACGGCACGCAGCATCACGTAAGTCACCACACACACCCCACGCACTCAACAGCAGAATAGCTAGCTGGTGAATTGGATAAATCAGTCAGTGGCTAATTCAATGCCTGCATCCACAGCAAGGTCAAAAACTGGCCGGGCCACCAGGTGGGCAGTTGTGGTGCGTGAGGCGATACAGCATGACGAACACCAGCGCATGCAGACACAGCACATACCCCAGAGCCGCCAGCCGCGTGAAGCGTGTGGACAGCAGCAGCCCACCCACGCCAATCGTCACCCTCTCCCCGAAGCTCAGTGCTTGCACCTTCCGCAGCTTCTCCTGCTCACGGAACGACGTGAACGGGTCCACTGACGCCTCGTACGCCGAGGAGTAGCGGCTCTCCACGTCATCAGCCGCCTGTGGGCTGTCCTTCTCACCCATGGCTGTCTTGCCCCCGCCGAAAAAGTTCTGCAGCTGGATGCCGGCAGCGGCAGCGGGGCCGCGGCCTGGGCGAGATCGGCCGCCTCTGCCGCCGCCGGGTCCTTGTTTGGGCTGCCAGCTCTGGAGATACTTGATCTTCTCGACCAGGGTGATGTTGTCTGAGTGCAGCTTGTCGGCACGAAGACGCTCCTGCTCGGTGGACGACTTCCACATGTCGCGACTCTGACGGACGGACAGACAGACAGACAGACAGACCCGCTCATTCATTTAGTGTGTGTCATTCATTCATTCCGTTAAGTACTTACCTGTTCGACCTCGAGCACTTTCTGTCTGAATCGGTCCCTCTGTGCGGTGACGATCTCCATCATGGACGGCATGGCCGCCCCAGCAGCGCTGCCCACCCCGGCCCCACCTCCACCCCCACCACCACCACCAGCACCAAGGGCAGCTTTGTCACCGTCACCAGCAGGACCAGCGACAGGCAGAGATGCTGCCACAGACGATGCCGGTGGTGTGTGTGGCGTGAGGTTGAGGTTGATGCCTCCAAGAGTGGCTGTGGATGGCTCGGCTGCCCCCTGCGCCTGTGCCTGGGACAGCTGGTTCTCCAGGCTGGTGACGAGCTGCTGCAGGTCGTCCACGCGCTCCTGGAAGGAGCGGCTCTCCTGCGTCAGGTGACTGATGGTGTCCTCCTGGCTGTGGCACTTGACACGGAAACTGTGAGCATCACACACATACACATTGGATGGATGGATGGATGAGCCCAGGTGGCCTGCCTGCGTACCTGGAGAGCTGTCCCTCCAGCTGCTTCTGTTTCTCCAGTAGTCGTCTCTCGAGGTCGGTGGAGGCGCCGTCGATGTCACCGTGCTCCACCACCTCGGCGTTCCTCAGCTTCTGGCGCAACTCACTCACCTCACCCTGACACACACCACACACACACAGATGAGTGAGTGGCAGTGTGGCTGCTGGCTGCAGTTAGTTGCTCACCACCGTCGGTCTTCGCTGCAGTTCGTCCCGCACTTGCACGAGCTCCTCATCCCGCTTGCGGACCACACCAGAGATATCCTCCAGCTGACGTAGAAGGTCGGCCTCACGCTGGCGGGACCTGAACAGTGAACAAGAACACGCGGCACAAGCTGACCGTGGTAGGTCGTGCGACTGACGGCCAGCTGACTTCTCATGTGTCGAGTATAGCTCCGCCCTTGTGTTGTCCAGGTCGGCCTCGAGAGTCTTGATGCGGTGCTGGGCGGCGTTGAGGGAATGCATCACAGACTCGACCTGATGTATGAGATGACCACAGACAGACAGGTATCGGCGGGGCAGGATGAGTGGAGTGGGCGGCTCCGGACATGGTCGGTCACTTAGCTTACTTTGGATTGGTCCTGCTGGCTTTGCTGTGCCTTGAGAGTCTCGAGGTCCTGCGTCTTGCGCTCCAACTCGGCCGCCACTGTGTCCAGCTCACTCTGCTTGTTCATCAAGTCCTCCTCGTGCCGCTGCTTGGCCTGCACACACACACACACACACACAGAGAGAGAGAGAAAGAGATGGAAGTGCCGCATCCACAAGCTTCCCTCAGCTGTCTGTCTCACTGTGCTGACTGACGTACCTGCAGCAGTTGTCGCTCTGCCTCCTCGACTTCGCTCTCCATGTAAGTCTTCATGCGCTCCTGCTCGGCTATCTGGGACCTCAGGCGAACCACCTCGCCCTCCTGCTCACCCTTCAACTGCACACACACGGCCCACAGCAATTAACAGCTCGGCTTTGTGGGGCTGTCTGGCTTCCTGTACCTGTTCGATGGCCTTTGCCCAGTGCTCGTCCCGCTGGTGTATCTCCTTCTCGAGCAGCTCGGTGTGGTAGGTGGTGACCTCGGCGAGCCTGCCCTCCAGCTGCCGCACCTTGACCTCCTGGTTCTTGACCGTCTTGAACTCGTCCTCCATGTCCTAAGGAAGGACCACCCATCACACACACCAAACATGTATGGCGATTCCATTGCGGCCATCGTCCGTCCGTCCGTTCTGGTGTTTTGTGTGTGGCCGGCCAAATGCACCTCACTCACCTTGAGCTCTTTCTGCATCTTGGTGCACTTCAACTCGGCTGCCCGCAGCTTCTCCGTCAGCTCACGCACACGGCCCGTGTCAGCACTGGCCTGCTGCTGGCTCATGGCCTCCTGGGACTTGAGCGCCGACTGGGCTGCCCTCAACGTGTCGGCGGGATCTGACGCGATGCAGACAGAAAAGATCCATTCATCGTGACCGAGTGGTCGGCTTGCTGGTGTCCAGACTGACCGACCTGGTGCTTCGTAGAGGAGCTGATAGAACTGTAGAAAGTTGGACTCAGCCCTGAATGAAGCACACAGACATCCAGAAGGAGTGAGTGGATGAGTGAATGCACCGCTCGCTCCCGGCGGCTCAGTGTAGTGCTCACATTTTGGCCCTCTTGGTGACGGCATCGATCTCGCCCTGGTAGGCCTTGAGCAGCCCCTCGAGCTGCGCCACCTTGTCAGCATCCTCGAGTTTCTTGAATGCCTTGGTCTCCTCCACCAGCTTCTTGCGCGACTCGAGGCTCTGCTTCTTGGTCTTCTCGATCTCCAAACCCACCGGGCCGTACTCCGCCAGACGCTGCGCCAGGTTTATCTCACCCCTGATGGCACGGCAGGCACCACACACACGCATCCCATAGAGAGAACCAGCCAGCGATGCAGCGCAGCGTGTGCGACGTGTGAGATCGTCCGGTGATTCATGTCTGTCGGCAGCTCAGATGCCGGCACTGTGGTGCGCCACCCCTGTGTATGCCCCTCACCACTTCTGCAGGGCCTCCTGCACTTCTGCCATCGTGGAGCAGCCGTCAACCTCAACGATTCAACAAAGTTCGGATCAAAACTACAACACACGCTGCATCTGCAGCCCGGCTGGGCGCTCAAACGTTCTGAATTCTCTCCTTGGCTGCATCGACCGGAAGCTCGCAAGTCTAAGCTCGCAGAGTCCACGCAGAAACATCGCGCCGCGCCTCCAGCATGAGCCGCGAGCGTTCATACGACAGACATGACCGACATCGCAGCAGCAGCCGGAGATACGAAGACGGCTACGATGACGACAGGCGCCAGTCACGCGACAGAGAGAGGCGAGATGGCCATGGCCATCACTACCACGACGATGAGCTAGATCGGCATTCGCGTGACAGATACGACAGCGGCCGGCATTCGTCGGAGCGTCGGCGGGACAAGGACAGGAAGGAGCGGAAGCGTCACCGGGACGACAGCAGCAGGGACTATGACGACTACTCACACTCCCGCTCCGACCGTCGCCACCGCAAGAGACGCTCATCGGAGGAGGGGGGCAGAGACGACCATGATGGTGAGGCGTCCATGGACGAGCACGATAGCTACGACCGGCGTGAGGGCCACAGGCGGGAGAGCAAACGGCAGCGCGCCGACACACACAGAGGGGACAGAGGCGAGACCCGCTCCAAGTCCAAAGACAGACACAACCACGCCCATGACGACATGCTGATCGACGCCCACCACGCCGCCCCTCTGCAGGCTGGCGCCGCGACGGCAGTCCCTCCCAAGCACGAGGACGAGGACGAGAGGAAGGAGCGCCTCAAGCGTGAGCGCCTCGAGAAGTTCAGACAGCTCAAGGCACAGAGAGAGGCGGAGGCCGCTGCAGCAGCAGCCGCACCACCAACCCCCGAAGCAGCCCCAGCAGCGGCCGCAGTGAGCGAGACCAAGCCACAGGAGGCCGCCGTTGAGGCTCTCAAGGAGGGTGTTGGTGAGGCTGTGGGTGAGGAGGAGCCTCACTCATCGAAGGAGGGCGAGGTTGAGAAGGAGGAGGGTGCTGGTGTTGAGGAGGATGAGAGTGGTGTGGCGTTGAAGCCGTGGCAGGACGACACGCTGGAGGTGGACGAGGAGCAGGAGCACCTGAACCGGCAGCAGGAGATCAAGAAGATCATGAGCCAAACCAAAACACCCAACGAGCTTGGTCAGCAAGCCAGCCAGCCAGACAGACAGACAGGACAACACGCACCATCCATCGCGCATTCCCTCTGCCCCTTTGTGTGTGCATCTGTCTGTCGTGTCATCAGACAAGGATTCTGTGGTCAAGGAGTCAGCTGCCAAGGCGGTGGACGAGAGCGATCCCCTGGAGTCGTTCATGCAGTCCATCGACAAGGAGGTCAAGGTGCAGGAGCAGCGCGGCAAGAAGAAACTCGAGAAGGGCGGCGTCGGCGCCGCCATGGAGGCCTCGCGCATGAAGTCCATCACCCTCGAGGAAATACAGCTGCTGGCTGCCAAAGAGATGCAGGACAAGAGCAAGAGCAAACCCCCCACACCTGCACCCTCACCCACACCGCAGCCCACACAGCAAGATGAGACGGCCCCTGTCGCACCAGCAGCAGCGAGCGATCCTGCTGCTGCTGCTAATGGTGGCGGTGGCGGTGGTGGTGGTGGTGTGCCGATGACTAACGGGCCGATTGAGCAGCTGAATGGGCCTGTGGACGGCGCCCAGGAGGCTGGGGCCGACGTCAAGATGGATGTGGACCAGGGCGGTGGGGAAGAAGGTATGCCGCGGTGGGGAAGAGAGAGTCGGCAGGCTAGGCTATTGCGGCTGGCTGTGATGTGTGAGAGAGACGGAGGCTTTTATCCGCCTTGCGTCTGTCTGTATGTATGTCACTGAGTGCTTGTACTGAAGACAAGGCGAAAGGCTGAGCCCACAGCCAGACAGACAGACAGACAGGCAGACAGCGTGCCTGCTGCCTCAGATGAAGCGCGGCAACCGCACCCATCTTCGTTCGTTCCTTTGTCTGTCTGGCATTCTGTGTGTGTGTCAGGTGTGGTCAAGGGCGAGGATGGCGAGGATGGTGTGGTCAAGATGGAGGTGGACGGCGGCCCCAAGCTCGAGGACGTCAAGATGGAGCTGCCACACCAGCAGCAGCAGCCAGAGGGGCCTCTGCCGGCCGAGGAGGAGGACGATGAGGAGGATGACAAGTTCTACAAGGCCTTCATGGAAGCCATGAAGAAAAAAGACGGTATGTATATGTATCAAACCGGACAGACAGACACACCAGACCCCACAGCATCTCTGATTTGTGTGTGTGTCTCTCTCTCTCTGTGGGTGTGGCATCAGAGTCCGACGAGGCCGCCAAGAAGAAGCAGAATGGCGACTCCACTGCCGTTGCCGCTGCCAAGGCAGATACCCCGACGCCCCCCTCACCCACCCCTGCTGCTGCTGCTGCCGCCGCCGCCGCCGCTGCAGCTGCAGCTCTTGTGAAAGTTGATGCCGATGTCAAGAAGGGTCAGCGCATCTTTGGTGACGAGGAGCGGGACCCTCTGGAGGACGCCATCGAGAGGGAGGAGCAGGAGCAGCGGGAGAGCTACTTCGACCTGCTGGAGGTACGTACGGCTCGGTTCGGTCACAGAGAGAGAGAGAGAGGACGGACACTTCATCATCTGTTTGTATGCTGTGTGGGGTGCGTGTGTGTGTGTGTGTGTGCAGAAGCATGGGACGAAGAAGGAGCTGCCTGCCGTGGACCACTCGAAGATCGAGTACCCACCATTCCGCAAAAACCTCTACAGACAAGGTCAGCCAGTCAAGGGGACAGACAACAAGGGAGGAGAGCTGCACTGCAGACCAGGCAGAGACCATTGCTGTCCTCCCCTCCCCCCTCTCTGTGTCACGTCTCGTCTGTTCAGTTCGCGAGATCACGTTGATGAAGGACCACGAAGTGGAGGCGCTCCGCAAGACACACGGTGACATCAAGGTATTAAGACAAAAGGGCGTCGCAGCACAAAGTCAGACAGACAGACAGGCAGACAGCCAGGGCGTGGCGTTTTTGCCGTTCCGTGTCTGTGGGGCGGGTTGACATTTTACGTGGCAATCGGCTGGTCGGCACGCGACACACCGCGCCCCTCCCTCCCCCTCCCTCCCCGTGTCACAGGTCCCGGGCGGCGGTTTGTTTGTCCCCTTCTCTGTGCCCATCCCCTCCCACTGATTCAATCCATACGTAACACCCACTCGAAGGGCGGGGCACCGATTGTGTGGCTGTCTGTCTGTCTGTCTGTGTCTGTGTGTGTGCTGTTGGCGATTCGCAGGGTGCGTTGCGTTGCGATGAGATGCGTGCGTGGCGTGGGTTGGATGGGGACCGATCCATCCCATGAGTCGATATGCACACACACACTGCTTACCTTGCTTGCCATTGTGCGTGCGGTGCTCGTGGATGTGTGGATGCGTGGAGTGGATGGCCGGCCGCCTGTGGGTGCACTCACTGCAATGAGTGCTTTGCTTACCTGTGCCTTGCCGTGTGGTGTGCTGCTGCTATGGCTGTGGTGCATGGGATTTCCATCGACTAATGTGCTCATCCTCTTGCCCCCTTCTCTGTCTGGCTGCCCTGCGTGTGTGTCTTCAGGTGCGCGGCAAACACCACCCCAGGCCGATCAGGACTTTCTACCAGTGCGGCCTGCCTGACAAGATACTCAAGGCAAGCACAACTGCACCACAGCCACCATCCTCTGTCCTACTCTCTCTCTCTCTCTGTGTGTGTGTGTGCAGCTGATAGAGAAGCGCGAGTACGAGCAGCCCTTCCCCATCCAGATGCAGGCCATCCCCTCACTCATGGCCGGCAGGGACGTCATCGGCATCGCTGAGACAGGCTCAGGCAAGACACTGGCCTACGTGCTGCCCATGCTGCGGCACATACTCGACCAGCCTCCGCTCAAAGACGGAGATGGGCCGATTGCACTGGTATGATTGATGTCAGTCAGAGGGTCAGTCAAGTTGTGGTGGGTCATTGGGGCGCGTGTGTCGTCCTCTGATTGATGTGTGTCTGTGTGTGTGTGTGTAGGTGATGACGCCCACTCGTGAGTTGTGTCTGCAGATATGGCAGGAGGTCAACCGGTTTTGCAAAGTCTGCGACCTCACTGCCGTAGGACACACACACAGACACACACACACGAGCAGAAGGATGGATGCGTATCTTGTCCGTCTTGTGAATGTGTGTGCAGTTGGCCGTGTACGGCGGCACGGGTATCGGCGAGCAGCTGTCGAGGCTCAAGCGGGGCGCTGAGATCGTCGTGGCCACTCCTGGACGTAGGCAACAGACACGCACACACAGACACGGACGAGTGCACGGCAATGTGTGTGTATCCGTGTGTGTGTGTGTGGCCCAGGCATGATTGACGTGCTGACCACGAGCAACGGCAAAGTCACCAACCTAAGGGTAAGAAAGAACGACCACACACAGAGGGAGGGAGAGAACCACATGGCCTTGACTTCTGTGTGTGTTCGTGTGCGACGTCTGTGTGTCGGTCAGCGTGTGACGTACTTCGTGCTGGACGAGGCGGATCGCATGTTCGACATGGGCTTCGAGCCACAGATCGCCGCAATCGCCAGTGAGCATGACCCCCACTACACAGACACACACACACAATCCTACACACTCGTGCCTGCCTCTGTGTGTGTGTGTCTGTGTGTGTTCTCACTCAGAGAACATCCGGCCAGACCGACAGACGGCCATGTTTTCAGCGACCTTCCCCACCCACGTGGAGGCCCTCGCCCGGGGCATCCTGCACAAGCCCATCGAGATCGTCATCGGCGAGAAGGGCCGCACCGCTGCGCACATCCAACAGTACGTCGAAGTCAGACCCGAGAACCAGAAATTGCTCAGGTAAGTGCGGCACACAACACAACACACACGAGACAAATGCGTCTGTGTATCCCTCTCTCTCTCTCTCTCTGTCTGTGTATGTGTGTGTGTGTGTGTGGATCTGTTTATGCACTGAGCAGGTTGCTGCAGCTGTTTGGCGAGTGGTTTGACCACGGGCAGATCATAGTTTTCGTGAGCAAGCAGGTGGAGGCCGACGAGCTCTTCAAGGAGCTCATGGAGTACGGCTACGGCGGGGGGACGACTAGCGTGCTGCACGGCGGCCAGGACCAGACGGACAGAGACTTCACCATCCAAGACTTCAAGGTCAAAGCAAGAGTACCCACAGCCCCCCCCTCCCCCATCTCTCTCTCTTTGTGTCTGTGCTTGGTCTGGTCTTCAGAATGGTGAAAGGAACGTCCTCATAGCCACATCGGTGGCCGCCCGTGGTCTGGACTGCAAGTCTGTCGTCCTAGTGGTCAACTACAGCACCCCAGACCATCTCGAAGACTACGTCCACAGGATCGGCCGCACCGGCCGGGCGGGCAACGTCGGGGTGGCCTACACCTTCATCACACCAGACGAGGAAGACAAGGCCGACGACCTGTGCAAGGCTCTCAAGCAGAGCGGGCAGGAGGTGCCTGCCGACCTGGCGCGCCTGGCCGAGGAGCACCGGATGCGGGTCAACATGGGCTTGGCGAGGAAGCACAAGAAGGGCGGCTTCGGTGGGCATGGCTTCAAGTTCACCGATGCCGAGAAGAGCCGACAGCAGAAGGAGAGACAGGAGGCCAAAAAGACATTCGGTCAGTACGGGCAGCCAGGGGGCAGCCAGGGCAAGAGAGAGAGAGAGAGAGGAGACCGAACGCACAAACAACTGCACAGTTGATGTGATCTGTGGATGGATGGCTGGCTGCAGGCATCGGTGACAATGAAGAGGAGCGCGAGGAGTTCCCCACCGAGGACATCGAGAACCCCCTGGCCCCCTCCCCCGCCCCCCCACTCCCCTCAGCCGCAGCTGGCATTCCAGCCGCACAGCTGCAGCAGCTCGCCAACGTCGCCGCACCCGGCGCCTCCGTTGCCGACGTCACCCAGGCCGCAGCCCTGGCCAAGGCGCGTGCAGAGGCCATCCTCAAGCAGCAGGGCCCAAGTACACCCGCAGCAGCGGCAGCAGCAGCAGCAGCCGCGGGGGCCACAGCAGCCACGCCAGCAGCAGCGGCGATTGCGCAGGAGATTGCTCAGAGGCTGCAGGCTCAGGGCATCCAGGCCGGTGCTGCGGGTATGTTGACGATGCAGGCGCCTCCTGCTGTGACGGGTGCCGACGGGCTGCCGTATGGCAGTGCGAGCGGCGTGACGCCCTACCGCGACCCGCACACCAACAACGTGGTTGAAGAGTTTGAAATCAACGACTACCCGGAGAGAGCCAGACACAAACTCACACACAGGGTAGGGTAATGTACCCACACAGACACACCCACAGAGAGAGAGGGGGGGGAGGAGAGGAGATGAGCAGAATGTCATCCACTGCGCGTGTCCGTGTGTGTCTGTGTCTGTCTGTGTGTTGCAGGAGGTGTTGATGCAGGTCAAGGAGATGACGGGCACTGCCTGCCAGATCAAGGGCCAGTACGTCCCTTCGGGAGCACAGCCCACCTTCGGCGACAAGAAGCTCTACGTCGAAATCATCGGACCCACTCTCATCTCAACACAACTCGCCAAGTAAACCGCACAGAGAGTGGATCGGATCATGTGTGTATCTCTGTGTGTCCTGTCTTGTCTTGTCTTGTGTGGTGATGTGTGTGCTGCAGGAACGAGCTTCGTCGGCTTGTCGAGTCGATTGCGGTGCGGGAGCTCAACGTGGGCTCTCGCGCTCAGACCACAGGCAGATACTCTGTCGTCTGACGGCTGGGGTGGGGTGGGTTGGGTGGCCCCATGCGATGTTATGCATGGGTGCGTATCTGTGCGCAAGACCAGAGAATGTTTTGATCCATGGCCTGCAGTGCAAGCGGGGAGACTCTCTCTCTCTCTCTCTCCCCGTGTTTGTGTTGACGCACTCGTCATCGACTGCATACTCTGTGTGTATTTTACATCACTTCATCAACCAGCAGGGCAGGAAGCGATCGCGCTAGAGCGAGCCAGTCACGTCACAGCATGAATCTTGCCTCAGTTCCATCGCCCCACACAAAGGGCAGGTACGCAAACACGCCCACCAGCGCCGCACACAGCGCCGCGTGCATCACCACCCCCCCAGCCTCGCCCCACATCCCCAGCGGCCGCTGGTGCATCAGCACCAGCATCGCAGGCACCATGAAGTACCGCAGCTCGAGCAGCTGAGCCGGCACCAAAGTCAGCACGCAGCACGCGGCAAAGCACATGCATTCGATTAGCCGACAGGACGATGGGAAGATGGAGGCAGAGAATAGAGACGTGACAGAGAGGGAGAGGGGCAGGGCGTACAGACGGACGAGAGGCTTCTGCAGAAGCCGCCGCCACAGGTAGAAAACGAAATGGCGGTTGTCGGCGAGTAAAAAGGGGTGGATGCAGGTGCCGTGGTGGACACAGAGATAGCACACGAGAAAGACTGTACAGGCGAATAAAGCCCTCTTGACCGACACAAGCACCCTGGTCGCATCCTTTGATGCCTCTGTCGTCCTCACTGGTATTTCTTTCTTGCCGCCTTCCTTCTTAACCATTATCATTTCACCGGCAGCTGCACACACGACAGGCGGCAGCAGGAAGCACACGAGATAAGCATAGAGGTAAGGCAGCTGCGCCCAGTGCAACACCGGCCTGTGATGCGACCGGTCCCCAACCACAATGCTGCCCTCATTCACAAAGACAACAAAGGCGAGGAACGCCGCACAGACAGCGGCATGCAGCCACACCCGATGCAGCACCCTACACAAAGGCCAACCTTCCCCCTCCCCCCCGTTCCCCCTCCTCAGCAAAGACATCGGCAGCGCCCTCCTCTCTTCGTCGGTGAGTGCGTCCCACGCAATGAGGCCGGCCATCCCCGCTACCCACACCACATTGGTCTGCCGGCACATGACGGCCACCGAGCCAGCCAGGCCGCTCAGACGAGGCCGGTCTGACAGGTAGAGATAGTAGGCGAGCAGCAGAGTCGCCGTGGCCGCCGTGTCGGTGTAGAAGAGCAGCTGATAGAACCAGTGGGGTGGGAAGAGGGCCACGCGGATCAGCCGGAGGGCCACGCTGCCGCCCTTGACAACATAGGTGCGCGAGAGGATGCAGAACACCAGGAGGTCACACAGCGGGCCCAGCACATAGGCATTCACCGACCTCAGCTGGCCGGTCGAACACACCACCGAATCAAAGGGGCTGTCGTCTGCCGCGCCGCCCATGTAGTTCATGAGCCGGAATGCGGGCGACAAGGAAGCGGCGATGAGGTAGAGGCCTGGGAAGGTGGTGATCTTGGGGTCCCATTGGCTGAAGCTGCCCATGCAGTAGTGCTGTGCTTGCGGCACGTGGAAGATCTCATCCATGTAGGGCCGGGGCACCTGGCTGCTGACCAGCCGAAAGACTACAATGCGGACGGCCGCAAGCCCCAGCAGACTCAGAGCACCGGAATCGTCGATGAAGGCCGCCTGCGAGAGCCACACACAATTCACAACCAAGATATTGTGAAGACGAAACGATTTCCATCAATGCTTTGCTTACCATCGCGAGCAACGGTGTGTGCCCGTCCAGCCGAAGCTCCTGTTCGACCGTCGGGCAGCAGCGACCGCATCTGCGAGCTTGAATCATCAAGAGTCACATCTTCCCAGCACGTTTCTGTACGTTTCTGGGCCTTTTAGCAGTCTTGCAGGCGTCAGCTGGCCTGAACTGCACGAGATCTGAAAGAATGGAGCTTCTCTGCTCACGGCGGCCCGTTCCAGCTCTTCGCTCTTGCCTGCCCCTCTTCCATCTGCCCGTTCCCGCCCCTCCTCCCTTCAGCCGAGCCGGATCAGGCACGCAGAACCTTCAGCAGTTTCCGCCTCACATCAAGCGTCGCGGCCGCGACACCAAAGCGCCCAAGACCATCAAGAACTCGTACGGCCCGATGCCCATCGACGCTGCGGGCAGCCAGGAGGAGAAGAAACAGATGGCCGTCAAAGAATGGCTCCAACGGCAGGTACGCACATGAGCTGACGGAGTTGTGTGTGTGTGCTATGTCTGTCTATGTGTCTGGCTGTCTGTCTGTGTGCAGGCGAGTGTGTTGTCTGGTTTGCCTCCCGACCTGCAGCAGTCGCGACTGCCGGGTGTGATAGATTCATACAAGCGGCGGCTGCTGGATGCCTATGGGGTGGGCTTCCTGAGGCACGAGTGGCCGATGCTGCGACTCATCGCTACGCGCAAGCTGCTGCACGGCAAACTGTGAATGGAGAATTGAGTGTGTGAGGTACCTGTACAGCATACAATGAGCGAGGGGGTGGTGTGTATCGATTCGGTGGTTGGTTGACAGTATGGTTGTTTGATGAGGCTGTGAGATGTGCGCGGCCGGGCGGTGCGGCGGGTGGTCACTTTCCGTCCGCACATCGACATGTGCGGAAGAGTGATCACTTGGCGATCGGTCCGTCGAAAACATCACACAGTCGCGGATGGATGGATTGATGTTTGTCTTGACGATAATATATTTTACGGATACGTTCATCTGATGGTCACGTTGAATCGGTTCACGCATCTGTCAGTTCGTCAGTGTGTCAGTTGGTCAGTGTGTGGTGCATGCTGCTGGTCTCTCTGTGTGTTTGGTTCATTGCACTCTCTGTGGCGGTTCAGATCAGCTCAGACGCGTCCAGGTGGGAAGTGTTTGTCGCTCTCGTCGCCCAGTCGTCTGGCGGGTCCGCTGAATGGTACCTGAAATGGACTCACACTCACTCATCCACAAGAACAGTGCTCACACACACGCATTCACTCTCTCTCTCTGTCTGACCGTTGGTCTGTCTGAGTCGGCCGTGGTGTCAGAGGCCGCGGTGTCGACGATCGATGGATACCAAAAGTCCCGCGGGGTGAACGCTGCACACACACACACACACACAGAGACATGCGGCCATCGAATCGATGTGCCCCCGCCTTGCTGCTCACCGCACATCACGCGCTCCGCAAATCCGATCTGGCTGAAGTTGCTGTTGATGCAGCCGCACAGCAGAATGAGCAGCAGAGACGTCAAGATGCTCAGCGCCTCCAAACAGACCATCAGCACGCCATCTGGTTGATGCACAGAAACACATCGATCACACTTGGATAAATTGTGAGTGTCTCATTCAGCTGACGGAGTGTGCCGTCCGCGAGAGCGAAGAGGAGTGACGCCGGCCCAATGCTCATGCTCAGCAACAGACTCATGCTGACGTAAGGACACACACACACATCCATCCATCCATCCATCCGTGCAGCCATCTTTGGTGTCTCTCTCTTGTGTTGACTCCTCATGCGGCGAGCCAGGCCATTCCGCAGACGGCCACGGACGCCCAGAAGGCATTGTTGCACCACGCCACGGTCACCGTCAGCGCCAGAGACATCACCACGAACGGCTGGGGAATCTCCTGCCACACAGCAACACAACAGACACAACACACTCATCCCTCTCTGCCCTGTCTGTCTGTCTGTCTGTCTGTACGCAGCAGAAGTAGTAGATGCAGCAGAGCAACTGACACACAGCCAGGCAGCACATGGGGTTCCTCATTTTGTTGGCAGCGCGTTCAGGAATGGCACCCGAGGCAGACTGGAACACACCGCCCAACATCGTCACTCAACTGTCACTCAATGATTGATTGATTGATCTGAGTGAGTGACTGAGTGATTGACTTAAGTGTGTCGTTTGCCTCTGTTGGTTCGACTCGACGTATACGTAAGCACGTACGATAGAAAAAGAATGATCGACGTATACGTATGTAAAAAAGCAGTGTATCATTCATTTTCTTTTCTGTTTTTGCAGTTAGAGGCAATGCGCAAGTGCAGCAAGTGCAGCAAGTGCAGCAAGTGCAGCAGCAGCATCAGAGGCCAAGATGAGGCGGTAGGCATCTGCAAAGATGTGGGTCGATAGCAGCATATATGTATATATATATGTTGTACAAGCTGCTATCATTAATGGGCTTAGCTATACGCCCCCAATGATTGAGTCGGTTATTTCTCGGCTGTTTCTCCTCCTTTTCGGATGAGGGAGCCTGTATCGGACTACACCCAACCCCCCCCAGTGACCCTCATCCCGCGAGACGGCGGCGGGCCCCCCTGTTGCGCATGCAACGCGAAAGGGACGTCTGCGCTGTCCACATGCAGCCGGAAGTGTGACTGCCGGAAGCACAAGCGCCTCTGCACTAACTGTGTCAATTGCAAGCGCGGCACGTGCACGAATTTTGCGTATCCCGCGGACCCGGCCGTTAGCAATGATGATGATGAATCGGATGCCGTCTCCCCCTCTGCTGGCCCTGCCGTGCCCTCCACGGCTTCCTTTGTCGATGAGAAGATGCGTGAGGCCTTCGGCGAGCCCCT